CTTGTAGTAGTTGCTCGAACTTGGTCTTGATTATTTAGATAAATGTAAAATAATCTGCTATTAATTCTACTTAGTCAACTTGGTTGTTCATTAAGAGTTTTGATATCTATTGCTTAAGTTTTGCACTAGATCATACATTGTGTTAAAGTTTTTCTTTGTTAAATATCCAATTTTTAGAGTTAAATTCTTAATGTTCTGATTTATACAAGTTAGGATTGACAATTCATTTTTCTTTTAATTAAAGAGGTGTCTAAGGTTTCTTATTCTATTAAGAGTAGGATGATAATATATTTCTGAGAATAAAGCTTTGGTATATTGTAAAAAGTCTCTTATTTTCTGTTGTTCTGAGCTTGTTGTAATTGCTAATTCTTTGTCTATTTTGTATAAATATTGGTTTATTATATTATTTATTGTTCTTCTGTTTTTTGAATTTCTTATGTTACAGGTTATTCATTGTTTAATACCACAATTAAAGTGAGTTTATTGCCTTTTTATAAACTTTGGTAGTATATAAATAATTATAGTAATAGTTATTTAATTAATTAAATTGTTCTAGCATATTCTTATTCTTGATTATTATTCATGAATTCTTCATATGCTTGTCAGAATTCATTAGTCATTGGTGTGGTTACTATTTCTGTAAAGAGTTCTTTTTTACTTCGCACATAAGCTACTCGTAGGTTTTCATATGCCTTAATCGGGTTTGGTAGTGGTCTTTTTAAAGATCATTTGATTTTCTTTTTAGATCCTTATTTTCTTGTTCAAGATCTTTAATGTGTTGGTTATGCTTATTCACTGTACTTACAAGTTGCTTTACTATCTTTTCAAGGTAGTTTATCTGTTGATTTTCAGTTTGTACAATGTTACTTTTTTGGGGTGTTCCAGATTTTTTTTGTAATACTTCAATATAAAGCTTATGATCTACCAGTGCTTCACTTACTAATTCTATCTGTTTTTTTTTTTGTCTACTCATTTATTTGTACATATAGTTTATCATTTTCCAAATTTCTTTATACTTTTCACTTGCTTC